AGACAGTTCCTCAATAGACAGTTTATTTATAATAATACGTAAAACAATTAAAATAATGGAATAAAAAGATTACTAACAATATCTTATGTCATTATACATTATTATTGTTAATTTTATGTTACTAAATATTTTCAAAATGACAAAATAAAAGTTGTAAGATACTTATTTAATGTACACGCATCGTCCACTTGACATATATTCTCACTTTTTTCATTGAAGAACGTAAATTTCTTGTAAACTGTACGGTCAATTTAAACAAAACTTTATGAGAATAAACTTAAGTATTTACTTTATAATTATAACGATTTTTAAATACAAAAAAACCGTTAAAAACTGTAATTTTTATGGTTTCGATTTTTTTTATTGTAAAAAAAATCAAGATTGTAATCAGAACATTTACTTGATATTTTATTAAATCAAAATCGAAACCGAATCAAAAAAAACCTTTCGATCTTGATCCCTGCTTGAAACACAATCTTAAATTGAAATTGGAACACGTAATATTACAAATTAAATTCATAATTAAAAACTGGTAATTTAATATTATTGATGATAATGATTTTTAAAATAATGTAAAGAATTTATTGCGAGAAATATTGTAGGAATTCGAACTTGGAACCTCCCTCATTCTGTGACGGGCACGTTCATAATTTTGATAGTCTAACGAAATAATTTTTAGATCAGATTTGTATTTAACTAATTTTATAGATATTTTAGCAAAATCGTTTTTTCCACTCTCGATAGCAAATCACTATTTATTTCGCGTCGTTTCAGATTTCGGTTTCGCACAGTACCTCTCGAACTCTGAACACAAATTCACGATACGAGGCTCACCTCTCTACATGGCACCCGAAATGCTATTGAAACACAAGTATGACGCTCGCGTTGACCTATGGAGCGTCGGAGTGATCATGTACGAATGCCTTTTCGGGAAAGCTCCATATTCCAGCAGTAGCTTTCAAGAACTAGCAGAAAAAATCAAGGACAGCCGACCAATAGAGGTGTGATTCCATTGTTAACTGGGGTTATTCTGAATCATGTAGGAATATTTTCCTACTCGAGTGCTCCTCGGGAGTCACGTTATCTTTGTACGTAAACAAGGATGGAATAATACCTGAGTGACACTCAGGAATTTGAACTCAGCACAAGATGACGTTTTTACATCCCAGCAGAAAGAAAATGAAACACAATTTTTACAATTAATATTGAACAATTGACAATTTCTTCTTCCATATTTATTTTTTCATTTATTCTTATTTTTTTTAGAATATATTAAATAAATATAATGATTCGAAATACTAATAAATTTACAGAACAATCAATAATATACAATATCTAGTTGACAATAGTAAATTTTAATTGGGATGTAAAAATCATCCCAGACGTTTGTTTTTACAATAAAAAACTAGATAACTATTACCGGATTGAAATTTATTTTATTTATACGTTCTCTATTTATTTTATTTATACGTTCGGTTAGCTTTAAACATTTTGATATAACATTAGCAATTCTTTACATTAAATGTACGAATCGTATTAAGTTCGCAATTTTTTTCGAGTTCAGTAAAGATATTGATGATCATAATGCGAGATAAATAATTCAGTGATGCGCAAAGATCGTCAATCCGATCGCGTATAAAAAATATACGTTAATTCGCGTTAGAATTCAAACATGAACGTAAATCACTTATCAGAATTAGTATTATTTCACTGTAGATGCCGAAGGCGGCTCATGTGTCAACGACGTGTAAGGATTTGCTTATGGCTCTGTTGAAGCATAATCCCGCCGATCGGATAACGTACGATGAATTTTTCGCACACGATTTTCTAGACTTGGAACACGCACCTACGAAAGAAAATTATGAGAAGGCAGCCACATTGGTACACAAAGCCGTTGAAATGGATACCGAGAAGAATGCAAAAGAGGCATTTTATCTTTACTGCGAGGCGCTTAGATATTTCATTCCAATATTGACAGGTAAAATTGTTTCGTATATCGTTCGAATATAACGGTTCGATTTAGATTTCTTGAAATTTGTATAAATGCTTTATTATATAATCATACGTCTATTCAATTAGACGAAAGTGATATAAAACGAAAGGAGGTATTACGACATCGCGTCAACGATTATATAAGAAGAGCGGAAACACTTAAAGTAGCATTTATAGATGAAAACACCGGGAAACACTTGGCGCCCGAAAATAAAGGGAACGTTTCGTCCCTACAAAGGATATCATCCTTAGAAAAAAGCTCAGCATTCATCTATAACGAATTACGTTTGTATTGGGTCCATAAAAAAATGTTTATCTCAAATGAAATGTTACATAAATGCTATTTTTTAGGGGTGCACCGGATCGTAAAATTACCGGATATTGGATATCCGATCGAATTTAGAGAGAGTATCTTCTAAAAAAAAAGTCTATAAAGGAAAAGATTGTAATTTTGCAACAATGTATAAGATATTGTAACATTATGAATATGCATACTTATTTCTAGAACATTTGTATGAGAAAAAATCAACAATTTTTTTTCATGATATCAAATTTCAACCGGATATATTCCCGGATACTAATGATATCCGACTATCCGGTCGGATAGTCAAAAAGTGCTGGATAATACTGGATACTTTCCACATATCCGGTGCATCCCTATTATTTTTCATTATTTATGCTTTAAACTAAAATATTATCATTTCAAATAGTGCAAAATTCTAAATTATTAGATTATAAAAGGTAACTGTGACGTAAAACTTGCTTATTATAGGGGTTCTCAGTAAAAGTACTACAAATATGGTGGATGCACTTGAAATAGGAGAAGTTGCTGAGCAGTATCTCGCTGAGGGTAACTATGCTCTGGCTTTAGAAAAATTTCAGTCCTGTCTAAGTGTACTAGTACCTCTGCTGGGTAAAGAACCGGCAGGCCGAAGAAGAGATTTGCTGCATAAACAGGTAATTAGATGAATCAGAATATTACACTCTACTGAAGTATCTAAACTTATTTCTAAAGTTTTCGAATTTTTTATGAACATTAATATGAAAATTAATTAAAAAATATTAATATAAATGAATTACGTATATTGAAAAAAGATAATCATATATATCCAATATATATGCTAAAAAATTGAGTAAATAACTTGACAGATATACTAATAAATAATCGCAATTCTTTTTAAATCTTTGGATTGTACGCATCAACAAATCGATTTTATTGGAAAGTAAATTTGTTATATCATTTAAAATGGCCTTAATGATTTTATGCCGCTGCCCCTTCAAGGTTATCTTGTTGTATTCCTTCACTATTCAAACAGCTTGAACGAAAAGTATAATACAAAAAGTATTGATAATACGAAATATTGTAATCTGTACTGTAATTCCATACAATGATATGAAAGTAAAAAGGTTCAAGAGGATAATGTGGATTAATTACACGGAGTTATAGATTCGTGAATTTGTGTGTTATTAAAATAAGACGGGAGCATGAACAACAATTTACCCTGAGAATATCGCACAAGCATTTGAACACGCGTTTGATGTTCGTACATGTTACACGAGGCGGCTACTCGAGAGTTACGTTTACTGAAAGTGCATCTATCGGAGGGTTGTTGTTATAATATGCTATTATTTTATTTATAAATTAAACTAAAATATAATGATAATAATATTTATTGTAATTTGTAAAAAGTATTTAAAGGATGACATTGTTATTTTTATTGTTTTGTTGATTCTTTAAATCAATATATATAATATGTGTGTATATTTGTATATATAGTTTTCAATATTTTTGATTGATAGGTACAAATTTGGATGAAGGAAGCCGAAAGTACCAAAGGGTTATTGGCTACCAAGGATATAGATTCCTTGCAACGAACATCCGACGAACAATGTGTATTACAATAACAGATGTTTGTATAACTGATATTGTAGAATAATTACTATTTTAGCTGTCAATATTCTCCGCATCATTGTACAAACTTTGCCATTTGTCATTTTGTACCATGCATTATTTAATTAATTAATTAATGTAATAAATAATTTTATATTTACTTATTATTAATTTTAATTATTAATTTAATATTTGCTGTAATATATGAATATTAATTATTATGTCTGCCTACATGACACAAAAGTCAATCGAGGTAACATGATCGGAAACACTTTCAGCAGCACTGCAGCGACGTTGCAATATTTCAAGGGCCTTATTCCCGCCCATACGAAAATAGTTACTGCAAATGGCTACAATTCTGTGTAATATGGGCATATCTAAACCTATATTCTTCAAATATTAATTAATTGCAAATAGTTATTTCAAGGATCAATTAAAAAAATCAATGTTTTCAACAATATATAGCTGGAAGAACTTTCTAGAAGATGAGGGCGCATGCATCGCTTTACGATTTCCGGTATGATCACGTGATCAAATAACGGTCGCGAAGCGACCGCCCCGACATTTCATGGAAAATTCCCATTTCTGAGCTGAAAACTTCCCCCTCCTTTTTGTGTGTGTATATGTACATCCCCTTCCATCGTTTGCCCTCGCTGTGCCATTCGTCGTTTACAATGCGGAACCCCACCACGTGACTGTCGGCACCTATGTACTTTCTCCCACTCCTTCGAAATTCTCGATCCCCCACCAAGCCAAAATGCAAGACCGGATGTGCGGCAACGTCGCAGTCGGTTAAGTACATAAGACGGAAAAGAGGGGGGACTGAGGCGGAAGAGGGAGCAAAAGAGAGGGAAAAGGGGGGAGGAGCGGGAGAGACGAGGAGAGTATGAGAAAGAACTGGCAACGTGTGCCATATTCAAATCTGATCTGAACGTCCAGTCGGCTTCTTAGTAAAACAGTAGAAAACGCGGAACGGGAGAGAGTCGCAATTGCAGAACGACGTGTTGCTTCGTGTATGTATGCCTGTCACTATGTCATATCGCGCACCGGCGAAACGAGTCGAAACGCGGTAGTGCGCATCACAGCGACATCGGTGGTGTGTTCCGGCACGGTGTGTGATATATACATATATATATATATATATATATACATATATATATGTGTGTGAAACGTGTTTAGTAAATGTATTGAGACGCGTTCAGTTTCAGGCACGTTGAGACGTGTTCTTAGGCTCTCTTTCTCTCACTCTCTCTCTTTCTCTCTCTCTCTCTTTCTCCCTTTCCTAGTTTTACACGTTTACGTTCGAGAAATAGCAAAATTCACGAACGCGTCTTTACCGTGATAGGATACCTCTCGCGCGTGCTGAATACAGCGACGACGGCGACTTATTCTTCCGGTTCCTTTGTCATTCACGTACGAATTTTCGCGCGCGCCCGTGCCCGCGCTCTTTGGTTCGCAAGCATCCAATTTCATGTAAATGTCCCGGGTGCGAATAGTGGCTAAAACACGAATCAGATTCCACACGACGACGTGGAATTATGTGCATGGATGTCCAGTTTAACGAGAAGATGGGCGACAAGAGCACCGACGAAGACGTACAGATCATCGAAGCATTCATCAACAAAGGTAAGTTTGAGGTTAGGTAGATAGGTAGCGATGGTAGCGACAACGATTGTTGAATTCTACAAGTTTGAGGAACTTAAACTTTAGTAAGTTTAGTAATGGCGACAGTGGTACCACCAACGATGGTGACTATAATGGCGGCGGTAACGGCGCAAGATCGTGCGCGTATCTTTATCTCCTTTTCTCGGTCACTCTTCACGTGCAGCGCGGTGCGATCTCACCGTCCTCGTTCTTCATGCTGCATACAGTTCCGATTCCCTTCTACGACACTCCCGTTAACGTTGGTACCAATCCAAAGAGTTGCGAGCATGTCTTCTGCGAGACGCGCTTTTCGCGTGTTACCGGCGAAATGTGATAGTACCGGTGAATCCATGAGCGTCTGTGTCGTAAGAATGTTGGTGTCAATAAAACGTCGGTATTAGAAAACTATAAATATTAACGAGGTGTCAATGACAGTCCACTTAAGCCAGCGACAGACGTTTTCTTACTTGATTGCTTGCGTTCTGGTAAATTGTTGGAGTTGCATCACGCAACGTTAATTTCTAGTAATTGCATATAATAATTTTTAGTAGTTTACTAAAATGCATAGTAATCAAGCAAAAAAACATACATCGTATGCCACTGGTCTTTATAAATGTAAACAACATCTTTGATTCGTGCATCAAATCTCTTATGCTGATTCTACAATGAGTCGGTAATCGGAAATCTTAGTCTTAATCGGTGAAGTGATCAATCAGCCTTAGTCGTACAAGTTTGCTATTGCTCAACTTCACCGATAAGACTTAGGAGTACCGATCACCGACTCATTGTAGAATCAGCGTTACTATTAGGTGTTGGAATTAATTCGTAGCGTTTTTTAATGAAAGAATGTTATTTATTTCACATGAGCATTAAAAAATACATTAATGAAAGTACTTCCCATCACTTGTAAAACGCTACGAATTAATTCCAACACCTAATAAAATTTTGCAGTTCCTAGTACATTCACTCGCGCTGTTTTATTTCGGCATGCATCAAACGCACACACGAACGTATCGGTATAAGTACGCACAAACACATGTGATTTTCTGTTCCTGCATTAGACTGTTCTAAAACTCTCCTTCTCGCTTTAAATAAATAAATCAAACGTATATCTATACGTCTCATCTCACTTTAAGTTCCAAATGTGTATACTTTTGGAATTTAAAGTGAGATAGATATATGTTTGATATTTACTAGTTCAGCCATAGAAAACAGAAATATGGCCGTTTGTGCATGCATATATGTATATTTTTTAGTATAGATTATATTAGAATAAAAAAATTACGAAAAGAAGGGCTTTTATTAAAAGTACATTGATCTGTTACTTGATGCATTAAAATTGATTACTGCTTTTGTAGGACATATCGAATCTACTTTTTTATTCCCGCATTGGATTGCACTACAACTTTCTCGCTTTCGCCAAATATCGAACGCACATATGATGCGTTCCGAGTTTCGCACCATATGTATATGAGAAGCGCATGATGCATCATCTGTCCTTGTTCATCAAATAATAAAAAAGGGATAAAATGATACCATCATGCGCTTTATGTGTAAACGCATCCCTACTTTAAATTCAAAAGTGTACATTGTAGACATATAGACTTCTATTGTCAACATGGACCGAAGTCTCTTTTCTTTTATGGTCTACAATGAGAGTAATATTGTCTAATAAACCATAAAATGTTACAATTGATCAATTATGGCTGATTATTCGAGCGTAATTGGTCGATTTCTTACGGATTACTACACAATTTTACTTCCATTGTAGATGGTCCATTATAAATTTATAAGTATTAGTCCCGACATGTTAAAATATAGTCAGCTTTAAGTCCTAAAATATTAGCCAAACATAATTGAATAAGGAAAATCGAGAGAATAATCGACTAATATTAGTTGATTTCTTGTTTTAAACTTAAGACTTACTATACCTATTGTATTTCGAGAGTTTGTTCTGATTTCTAAGAGTTGGCATTATTTTACTCACTCCAAAAAAATCTAGAGGGTTTTTTTGGATTTCATCCACTCAACAAAATCCAAAATTTATGGATTTTTTGGGGGTTTTATTGGGATTTGTATAAGAAAAACAAATTTTTTAATCGATAACATAAAAGGAATGTATTTATAAATATTTAATGAATGTAGGTATATTAAACTAACTGGACTGTAATCTTAACATATTATACCAATTTTAATACATACAGGGTGTATAAAAAATCTCGGACCCCTTAAATTTAAATATTTTGTAAAGTACATTTTCAAAAAAAATGTTTCAGAAAAAAGTTGTAGAGTTTAAAAAGATCTACTAATCACATCCGTCTAATTTTAGCGACGCTATCCAATGTCAAACGGATGTGATCATAGAATTTTTAAACCGTACAACTTTTTGTCTGAAACATTTTTCTCAAAAATGCTTATTTTTCAAAATATTTAAGGGATCTGGGACTTTTTATACACTCTGTATATAGCCGTTTTACTTTTTAATAGCATATAAGAAATTTAGTCTAATGTTAAATTCTTAAAAAATAATGGTCTTAAAAAAATTACGATTTTTAATAATTAATTAAAATTATATCAAAGCATAATAGAAATTCCGAATTTTTATTATATATAATAATAATAATTCGAGGAATTAAAATTATGTCGCGACATAATAATTCGATGAATTGAAATTATGTCGAGACATAATAAAAATTCTGAATTTCTATTATACCTTGACATAATTTTAATTCATGGAAATATCACGACATAATTTTAATTCATTATTAAAAATCGTAATTTTTTTGAGATAGTTATTTTTCAAGAATTTAACATTAAACTAAATTTCTTTTAGTATAAATTATTAAAAAATAAAATGACTACTATTAAAAAGTAAAATGACTTGCCATTATTTTCTGCTGTTAAAAAGTAAAACAACTTGCCATTTTTTCGGTACTGATAATATTAAAAACACAAATTTTATGCAACGACTTAATAATAATAATAATAATAATAATAATTTCGCGACATAATAATTAATTTCACGAATTAAAATTATGTCGGGACATAATAGAAATTCGCAATGATTATTCTATCGCGACATAATGATAATTTGACGAATAAAAATTCAGAATTTCTATTATGCCTTGACATCATTTTAATTCATGGAAATATATTATGTTATGATATAATTTTAATTCATTATCAAAAATCGTAATTTTTTTAAGACAATTATTTTTTAAGAATTTAACACTAGACTAAAGTTCTTTTATGCTATTAAAAAGTAAAACGGTTTACCATACTTTTGTCTGAATTTTTATGGGCTAGAAATTCAAATAAAAGTGTTTAAATGTTCAGACATTATAATTAGAAATATTTAGACAACTGATTAGAAATTCAGATAATTTTGATATTCAGGCATCGAGATCAGAAATATTCAACAATTATAGCTAGAAATTCAGAGAAATGTGAGTAGAATACAATTATGGCTAAAAAGTTAAATATTCTGAAAATATATTGAAAATTATATATTGAAAATTCAGACAATGTAATTGAAAGAAAACTTCAGTTTTTATCTGAATTTGTACAATGTATATCTATGTAAGCAGAGTATCTCATAATAAAAGTTCATAAATAACGTAGATATTTCTCAGTTAAGCTCAATTTCAATTTCTATGTACAAAAAACGTCTATATTATTTTAAAGTACTTATATTAAATTATTAAAATATTGTCTTTATTTTTATTGGTTAGAAGTTTTTTTTTCATTATTTATAATATTAAAAAAATTCTATTTATAGATTTTTTTAAACGCTCTTCAACTGGCAAAATTTTTCAAATTTTTGAAAAAATGTGTACAGTATCTTATATTCACAACCTTGACAATTATTTATTTTAAATGTTTGCGCAATTTTTGTAATATTTTTATTTTCTACATTAGTATTAAAATGTTGACATTTCTTATTTTCAATTTGTTGAGTTTTCATTATATAGAAGTACTTTTTTTACATTTAAAAAATTTATCACTATAATATTTTTACAATTAATTTTATTTGAATATGTAATTAAATAATGATAAAAATAATAAACACAATGTAAACTAAATATTACATGAAAAATATATCAAATAATCAATTTTATTTAAAAAAAAAATCCCTAAAAAACCCCTATAAAATCCAATAAAACTCCCATAAAACTCAGGGTTGAGTTTTTTTTAAAAAAGCCCAGGTTTTTCCAACCCTGGTAAAATTAATTTCGTTCAACTTGCTATTTATCCTTTTCTAATTCTTACATTTAGAAAAAAATAAAGAATAAATTAAACTGAGATTGAAGTTAATCTTACATTAGCTGAAACGCTTATCTATGATCTTATCTATGTTTTCTTAGAGCTACTTTATGGATATCTATTGAAATTATTGAGAGAAGTTTTCTATCGTTCGAATGATTTATTAAAAATCACTGATGATTTAAATTTATTCTGAACACACACGCGCGCGCATAGAGAGAGAGAGAGAGAGATAATTGGTAAACATTCTATATAACAAGAAAAGGTGCATAAAATGCAATAGAGCTTCATTTTTATGTCGAATAATAGCTCATATTGTTTTGCGTTCTCTTTTATTAATTGATACTTGGATTTCTCAAATTATTTCGAACTATGGGTAGGTATTTAATTGCATTTGGAAATAGATCGGTATTCCGAAATACCGATTTGTGAAATGCCATTTCTAGATTCCTTACGTGTTTCAGTGTTGATAATATCCACAACGATAAATGTATTGACGATTATGCGAGAGATCAGCTGGCCGTCATTTTCATTCAGACGATACGTGAAGGACGACGTGTAACTCCAATCTCTATTGATATTAATTTTTGCTTGCATTGAGTCTATCTGTATTGATATTGTTTTTCATGCTATTCCTATCGTGATAAACGTGTTTGCTTCATTAATGCATATGAAATACTATTTAAATATTCGGGTCAGACTTATTTAAGTATTATAGT